TTCAAGATGATAGATGTAAGAAATTGACTCCAAAACCAGACCTCTTGCTTCCATGACCAGTTGTGACAGGAGAAAAGAAGTTAATTGTGAGGCTGTAATTATAGGAGGATATGCTGTAAAACATCCTGGTTTTGCATTTTAGCACTATAGATTTCTTGGCTGTATCTGTTTCTACCTCTTCTCCGAAACACAGAGAAGCCATTCTCACTATATCTACTAAGAATAGTTTGATTTTTTTTTCATATTCCTCTTCTTAGAAGACATAACATTTAATATTCTTTTACGAATGTTACTGAATGCAGGTCTGATGATTAGCAACGATAAGAGACCATAATTTTTGGTTTAAGACATTTATTTGGGTGTGTGAATAAAATAATAACATATGTATTGCTTCATATGCTCCAAGATCTGCATGAACCCAAAGTGACTGAGCATCCAAACATCCCGTGAGGTAGGCTGGAATAGGTGGCCAAGATGCCAAAGTGGCTTGTGTATTAATTAAAAGCAAAAAAAAGGGAGTGACTTCAGCAAGGAAAACCAGGATCTCCAGAAGCAGTGTGCTAACAGGACGTGCCCTCTGGAAGCTTCTTTGAAGGCTCATTTGCTGGGGGTTTAGACAGAGGAGGAATCCATCAAAATCAGCTCCTCAAGGCAGTGGAAATGTTGCTGGTACAAGGGCACTGACCCAGTGGAAGCCTTTCCTTACTGTGCCGGAACCCTGTAGGGATACAAAGAACCTCATTACTTTGCTGAAGTGGGATGAAGCTCAGCCTCTGAAAGACTCAGTTGCTGCTAATTACCATTAAGAATAAACATATATGTTGAGTTCCTTCACGTAGGTGCCTACAAAGAAGGGTCCCTATGGGTGCTGGCTGTGTAGGTCTGCACACAACCAGCCTACATGAACTGTCCTCACTGGCAAACCAGATCTGTTACCTCCTCTAGTAAGTTACTGATTCAACTCTCTTCAAAATAAAGACCAGGGATTTTGTTTCATGATTTCAACACACAAGTTCAGTGCCATTTGAAGAGCCCTGGAGTAGGTATCTGCTTGGCCTCCAGCATTGTTTTCCCATAGGTCATATCAGCCAGACTTATCAGTGTGGTTTAGATAGTCCAAGGCACCTCAAATGCCACGAAACACCACAGTTTTGTTTATTGAATCAAATCCTATGTGTCCAGTTTCTTTCCAAATAGATTGAATTCTCAGTTGGAAAAAGAAGATATCAATACCTTATTGGTGTCAGCTTCTGCTGTAGTGAGTCAAGCCAGCTGAAAACAAGCATCTCAATAAGAAAAAATTTAATCCTGAGCATTAGCATCCACTGATATCATGCATGGGACATTCTACTCAGGAGTATTTCTGCAGAAAATTATTCCTGAAAAAAACCCTCAAGAAGCTTTGTTCACTCTTCAGCCCCAGTTCTCCTGGGATCAGAGCTAACAGAAGTTCTTAGAGACATTCAATGCTGAAAATCTGCCATCTGCTCTTTTCTCATCATCTCTATTTACCAACTATAGAACGTGAGTCCTAAAGTGAATGATATTTTAGGAAGACAGAGACATTGAGTTATTCCTTTGCAAAATCATTTAATAGTAGATTGCTCTGTACTGTTCATTTTCCTGAATTCCTAAGTGGGTGCTTCCTTAAAATCATTGATACCATGACAGTGAACGTATCCTAATATTGGTGTGGCTTGAGTTTCTTGAAACCACAATCTGACAGCTTGAGATGTCAGACTGAGATGCCTGAGAAGTATCTTTGATCCTAAGTTGAAGTGCACTCCTCAAATGTGTGTTTAAATCCTTATGGAAAGAAAAAGTCTTGCTACTAGGGGAGCTGCAGGCATTATTAGAAGTTGTTCTCCAAGGTGAAAAGTGCAATACAAATGCAATTGCCTTCATTCAATCACAAATTCACACCTAAGAGATGCAAGGCTGTGGGAGGAAGAAGTGATGCTTTCCTTATTGAAACCTAGGTCTTTTGGAAAAGGAAAAGTATAGAGGAATGGATGACACATTTTTCCCTCTAACAGGTAAAAATACTGCCAGATATTTTTGTAATAAGTTTCTTTGATTTTTTTTTTCCCCATCTAAAATCAAATTCAGGAAGAAAATGCTGAATTCTGGCAAATGTTGGTACTCTTGAACTTCTGAACTTCTACTCTTGTACATAGCTTCCATCAGAATTAATTACCTCTTTAAACATGACCACTTCTCCAGCATAACTACCAACAGGACAAGAGGGAACGGCCTCAAATTGCTCCAGGGGAGGGTCAGGTTGGATATTAGGAAATATGTCTCCTCAGAAGGAGTGGTGATGTAGTGGCACAGGATGCCCACCCTCAGGGTGGAGTCACCATCCCTGAGGATGTTCAATAAGTGTTTAGATATTGCACAAAGAGACCCATGTTTACTGGTGGTAGGTGGACGGTTGGACTGGATGGTCTTGGAGGTCTTTGCCAACCATGTTTCTATGATCCTGTACAACATATTTATGTTCCCCCTCCACACATATTCCTCACGTATTGCTGCTCTGCAAGACCCCCAATCAAAATGTGTGCATCCTGCACAAAGGAGCAGCAGGCAAATGGCAGAAAGAAAATGCTCTCCCTTCCACCCTGCAGCACTTACTTGGCACAGCAGTTTAACAGCCCCCCATGGCACGGTCCAGAGATGGTGAAGGTGGGGGGGCATGACCCTACACGGCAGAAATTCCCCTGGTTCCTGCATGCTACGGTGTCAGGGTAAAGTGGATCTGCTGAGCCTGTGGGGAAAGGAAGGTGTTAAAATCTTTTTAGTTTTAAACAGTAAAGGATAAATACACAGTAAAGGATAAATGCGCAATAAAGGATGGATATGCAATAAATCATATGCTGTTGATTTTTTAGATTCTGCCTGAGAACAGATGATGCATAGCACCAGCATCACAGATTGCCTATCATTTGGCCACAGCCTTTTTTTCCTCCTAGGCACGCACTTGTGCTTGCATCTCCTTTCAGTGGAAGGATTGATGAGGTATCTCACCTGGCGCAGCCTGGAAGAGGAAGAGGAGAACAGCGAAGAGCAGGCAGAGGACCTTCATGGCTCAGTTGTGGACTGTGTGTCCCAAATCCTCAAAGACTGAAGGAGGATGATGTTTGTTTGAGGAAGAGGCAAGGGAAGGCACCTGGCATTTATAGGGGTTGTGGGATTGTGAAAGTTTGACGGCTGAGCGCTCTGTCAATAAGTAACTGCACCCAACCTTTTGTCAAGCAATTGGTTATCCCCCGATCACAAGTTGCAGTGAAAGATCTGGTGAAAATGTTGCAATCTGCAACAGTGAATTTCCACTGACCGTGACGGCCGGTTGTATAATGGGGCTATTAGCCAAGCCCCAAACCTCTGGCTTTTGTAGATTTGTTTCCAGCGTGGGCACAGGCATGGAACATGCAGAGGGCTTGGTGGCCAGCTGTTGGAGCCCAGTCCCAGCATTGTCCCTGGACCTATTGCTTGCTGATTCCTGTAGCATTTGTCTCCCCATCCCTCTTACTGAGGGAAAGCAATGTGAAACATTTCAGTCTTGATGCAGTTTTGCTCTGCCACTTTTTATGCAAGTTCCAGACTAACCTCACCCAGCGCAGAGGGCTGACACAAAGGTCTCTCTCTCCTGTAATTCTCACTCATATCCCACCTTGAACGCTTTGCATTTTTACCAGCTTTTGATATCTACTTTTATTTCCCCTCCTATTGCCCCAAAAGGTTTGGAGAATGGTACGAACCCATAAGAGATTTATGGATAATAAGGGAGGGATCATGGAATCATAGAATCGTTAAGATTGGAGGTCGTTTCAGTGATTAACATTAGCCCTGGCAAAGATGTCTTTCCTGTGTGTGACATGCAGGCTTGCCACTCACTTCTGAAATGCTGAGTGTCATAGAATTACAGAATGCTCCAAGTTGGAAGGAACGCACAGGGATCACTGAACCCAACCCCTGTCCTCACACAGCATCCCCCAGCCCAAACCCTACATCTGAGTGTGGTATCCCTGAGCTCCAGCAGCTCGGGGCTGTGCTCACTGCCCTGGGAGCTGCTCCATGCCCACTGCCCTCTGGGGCAGAACCTTTCCCTCACCCCCACCTGACCCTCCCTTGACGCAGCTCAAAGCACAGATGTTTGTCCAGTTCCTGCTTCTTGCATTCCGGTTCAGTGGTTTGCTTCCTTGTTACTTCATTTATTAGATTTCAGTGGGAGTTGATGCTATTTTTGTTCTAAGAATTCTTTGCAAGATGAAAACATGACTGATGCTTATGTTTAATCTACGTGCTAACTAGCAAGTTTAGGCAGTAAGAAGGTAGCAGCCAGGTGAGTTACCTGCTAATGTAGTGAATAACAATAAGGTAAACACTGTTTTTACTCTTTCATCCATAAAATCTAATCACCAGGGACTGCTCAGCACTTCAGAATGTTCTTTTTCATCCCACTGCCTTAGAAATTATCCACTGGTGAGGACTCTCTGCTACCACATGCAGCATTTATAGAATCATAGAACAGTACAATCACCAAGATTGGAAAAGACCTATAAGATCATCCAGTCCAACCATCCACCTGTCACCAATGGTTCTCACTAAACCATGTCCCTCAACACAACATCTAAACTCTCCTTGAACACCTCCAGGGTCGGTGACTCCATCACCTCCCTGGGCAGCCCATCCCAGTGGCTGATCACTCTTTTGGAAAAGCAGTATTTCCTAACGTCCAACCTGAATCTCCTCTGGTGCAACTTGAGGCCATTCCCTCTCACTATCTATCCTATCACTATTTAAACAGGCTCTGCTCACTTTTAGGGCTGTGCTGGTCCCCACATGCGAAATTAACCTATATCGACTATCAAATAGATAATATGTCAGTGGTCCAAATTTCCACAGCATTCACAGATCTTGACACAAACAATTCTCAGAGGGGGAGAGCAGCGCTCCAGTAAGGCAAGCAATGTTTTAAGCCCTACTAGCATGCGTACAGCCTTAAAAAGTCATTCAGAGCAATAGGAAAATTCCATGACTTTGACTGCTAACAAAAACAAAGACAGGTGCAAGCTGGTTGCTTCAAACCAGGCCAAATTTGTACAGAATGTCCCAAGAGCTGAACCATTGGCATTGCACTGACCATGGGCTGGAACACACCGGTGTGTGCATGGAGCTGCTCCTATGGCTGCCAGGGCCAGGAAGGAGTTCTGCTGCAACCTCTGCTGAATGTTGACTTCCAGACATGATCTGGGAGCTCCCGGAGCTGTAGGTGCCTACCCCAAGAGAATGGAGCTAAGCAAATAGGTTTTAAGGAGTTTCACTGAAAATCTTATTTAGGAATGCTGCAGTGTGGATACGACAGAAAGAATTCCTTGAAAGTATTCATAGAATCATAGAATCACCAAGGTTGGAAAAGACCTACAGGATGATCCCGTCCAACCATCCACCAATAGTGAGTTCTCTCAAGCACAGCTTAAAAGCTAACGACTAATGAAATTTGGGGATGAGCTGTTCGTAGGGTCTGAGAACCATTCTGCCTTGAGGAGTGTTTATTGATATAGCTGTACGTGTATTTGGGCACAGTAAATCTTGATTTTGCCCTTTTAACTAGGAACATGCATTTAAAGCAACATAGGCACATGATTATTTAGAAGAGCATATACTTACATATCAGTAACACCACGTTTATGCCTACAAGGAGTCTCCTTACATTCTTAATTATGGCACAAATCCTTGCAATACACACAGAGTGATTTATATTTGTGGTGCTTCGCCTTTCAGTGGCCAAAAGCAGAGTAAGAAAGTAAAATCTGACAATACTTTGTTCTTCAGTTGTCTTAAGCTTCCAAGATTTAGCTAATCAATGAACGTGGACTGAAATCTTACATTCCTCTTATAACCAAGTACACGTAGGGTAATTTTAACAAAAGCATACAGGTTTTTCTAAATGAGAGAATGCCAATGGATGAGCAAATTCTTAGCATCCTCAAAAAGGCACACAAGTCTGATGCAGGCAGAAGAGGAGACTGAAAAGCCACCACTGAAAAGCACCGAGTTCAAGGACACCATATTGCTGGAGTCTGGCAACCTGGTCAATTATTACCTATTGGCAGCTTGGCTACCCTTGGTTGCTTTTATCTCCATTGCATTTGTCATCGTGTTGCAATCCATACAGTGAGTCAGTTAAATAAACCTATGCACACGGGTGCTAAAAAACTACACAGCCAATGTAATGTCCTCCTAAACCCTGTGCAAGATGAAGAGATGGAGTTAGAAGGAATGACAATCAATGTTCGTGAGGAAGAGTGTGAGGCAGGAGCTGCTGACTGTTATGGAGAGAAGGCAAATTCCTCTCCAGTCTTATCCTAGAATCATAGAATCATAGGATGACTTGGGTTGGAAGAGACCTTAAAGCTCACCCAGTCCCAACCCCTGCCACAGGTTGGTTCCCTTCCAGCTCAGGTTGCCCAGGGCCCATCCATGGCCTTGGGCACCTCCAGGGATGGGGCACCCACAGCTCTGGGCAGCAGTGCCAGGGCCTCACTGCCATCTCAAGGAAAACTTTCCCTCTGACACCCAATCTGAATCTTCTCTTTTATAGTTTGAAGCCATTTCAACTTGTCCTACCAATCCATGTAAAAAGTTGATTTCTCTCCTGTTTATAACACCCCTTTAAGAATTGGAAGGCCACAATGAGGCCTCCCCACAGACTTCACTTGTCCGGTGAGTTTCCTGATCTCTCATATATCACCGTTTCTGGAGTGCTGCATCTCCTGGAGATGTTGAGTCTTCTGTGCAGATGCTATTGTAGGAAATAACACAAATAGCACATTGTAGGTGTCCCTATTCATTGCAGGGAATTGGACTAGATTATCTTTAAAGGTCCCTTCCAACCTTCCAACACAAATGATTCTGTGATTCTATGGGGTCACATACATCAGACAGGTCAGTGTGGCATTGACCTTCACCTACATACACGTGATGGTTGGCATGGATAACAGGCAAGTCTGCTGTGTTTGCCATGTCCAAAATCTCATTATTACTTGCTGAGGTGTAGCTGATACAGCCAGCGAAGTCTGGACAGTGATTCAACCAACCTCTCTGTATCTGCTCTAACAGATTAAATAGTGTCAGGACAGGAGCACTGGAGTTTGATCATCCATAACAAATTTTTGGAATGGCCTTGGCAATTTTGACCTCTGCTAGCACTCTGCCAAAAATTCCTGGGCAGTTTCAATGCTAAATCCAGGCTAGAAAGCATTCCAGCAGGCAGTCTGGTGTGGTAACCTTGTTCAGGAAGCAGAGATGGTTGCATGATATGGGTATGGTTGCACCATGCTATCAGATCTCAGGACCTAGAGAAAGGCACTGCTTACTAGTATAGAAATGCAATTTTCCAGCCTGTATGTGCAACTAATCATACTGCAGGCATCCATGGCTTCTAAAATCCGTGCTGGAAATCAACTGTCTCTGCTTCCCAGTTGGGCAGATGGCAAACTGTGAGGGATAACACTAACAGCAAGATTATTGCTGACCTGAAAAATGCAGGATGCCCATGGAATTCGAAAAGATGCTTTGAAGTACAGTACTTCAAGGAGCAAAGAAAACAGGCCACACAAAGGACTCCCTTTGAGTAAGGAGCTGATTACTTCATATTCAAGAGACCAGATTACGTCTCCTGAGGTCAATGTCACAGGCAAAACCTGGTTGTGTAACCCATGCTGTAATCAAGAAGATAATCAATTTCCAATGAACAAACCAGTGCCTTATGAAACGTGTGCAGGGGCTGGGTGCATTCTAACACCCTATGGGCTACATCGGAGGAAAGGAAGGGAAGGAGCAGCACCTGGCTGGGGATCAGCATCTCTGCCCTTGTGTCTTCATCACCACAATGCTTGCTTCTTAGTTACTATCTTGAGATAAGGTATTCTTGTACAAAACTGGAGGCCAAGCAAAGCTGAGAGGGCTTTTACCACTGCTGCTGCTGCTCGTGTTACGCCTCTAAGTGTCCTTAAAGTGTAGAGATTAACACGTGGTGATGGCTGTGGTCCAGAGACCAACAGTGAGCACTGACTCTGAGATTTAGAATGGAATGGAATGGAATGGAATGGAATGGAGTGGAGTGGAATGGAATGGA